TTTTCAGGACCAGAATCAAGCACAGATTCAAGTAAAGGTATTCTGTGAAACATCATTTGGACAGTAATTATGTCTGACATATCAACCCTCAAGACAAGAATTTCATTTCATGTGGTTGTGTCAGAGGTTCCCTAACCACACCAGCTCGGGTTATTCACTGAACTGGCAGGACTCAGCATATAGTAGTTTTCATGCATGTGATTGATTTTTTAACATTTATTCATTTATACAAGAACTGGGGTACAGGCCAGAGGTGCAGGAGGGTGAGAGAATTCCCCAGAGACAGAGCAGAGAGCAGAACAGGCAGACGGACTGAAATACACTGCTGAGGGGAGCAGCGGGCAGGACAGGAGAGGTCTGCCGTGCCATGTGGGAATCTCCCTTCCTGGCCAGGAATCAAACTGGCACTGCAGAGGCTGCGGACAGCTTCACAGTGCTGCACTCAACCCGCTGTGCCCCTGGGGAGGGGAGGCCCCTCATGCTTGTGATTTATTATAGTGAAAGGATGCAAGGAAAACTCAGCAAAGTGAAAAGGTGTCTGGGGCAAACTCTGAAGGAAAACAGGTGCAAGTTTTAAGTGTCTTTTCCCTGTGGCATTCTCAGAATGTGCCTAGTTCCTCCATCTCAAAATATGACAGCACATGTAAAGTGGGTGTCTGCCAGCCCCAGTGCTCCAGTGTTTTGCTGTAGCCTAGACATCCTCTCCCTAGCATGTACTGAAATTCCACTTCCCCAGAAAGAAAGCAAATGTTCAGCAGAAACCACATTGCTTGTACTCCTAATTTAGCGCAATTGGGGAATAGAAGGAACCTTCCCCAAATCCACTTTCCCAGACACCCACCAAGGGTCAGCCATTTCAAGCAGGAATTTCTAAGGAGAGCAGTCTCAGGCTCACTGCCTGAAATCTTTCTAGTAGTTATGCTAACCTTAATGTTTGGCTTTATCTTAAAATTTTATTTTAATAGGCAATATAAAGATATAACATAGTATTAGTTTCAGTTGCATCATCCACCTTAAATTACAGTGCTGGTTGCATTTTTGATTTTTGATGAGTGCTTAACAGATATTTATACAGAAACTACTGTGGTTATTATAGATAATTACAATGTATTCTTTATATTCTCTTACTCTCTCAGGATAATTCTGAGACAAAATAAGCATTGCAAGTTCTGATTTAAAATTAAAATAAAAATTGCTTATTAGGCAGATGATCTAATTTGATTCTTATGATGCTGAATCCCATTGTAATTAGAAAACAACGTAGTCAATAATATTTATCAGATTTTTCCTCTTAAGTTTAAAATTAAAAGAGCTTATTTTATATATATTCATGTACATCAGCTAGGGAGATAATACCCATATTTGCTTACTTTATTCTCATTTTTGAAGTGACTGTGCCTTGATAAATTATTATGTGGTAGTAGCAGGTCAGAGGAAACCCTTTGGAAAAAAAAGTCTTTAGAAAAGGTTTAGGTTTACAGCAAACCTGAGCAGAAAGTACAGAGTGCCTGTATATCCTGGCTCCCACACATGTGCAGCCAAATGTGCTGTTGACATCTTGCACCACAGTTGTACCTTTATAAAAATGTGTGCGTCTACACTGACTCATCATTGTCACCCAGAAGTCATAATTAATTTTAACACTAGGGTTCCCTCTCAGTGCTGTGTATTTTATGTATTTTGAAAAATGTATATTGACATGGATCCACAATTGTTGTATTTTACAGAATACAGAATAGTTGCATTGCTCTAAGTATCCTCTGTGCTCTGTCTACTCATCTCTCCCTTCTTTCTAACCCCTGGAAACCACTGATCTTTTTACTGTCTCCATAGTTATGCCTTTGTCAGAATTTCATCACACATTTTCATATATTTGATATGATACAGTTCATATCATATCATATATCATATCATACAGCTTACAGTATCGTACAGCTTATATATCATACAGCTTACATATCATATATCATACAGCTTACAGTTCACATCATATCATATCATACAGTAGATCATATCATACAGCTTAAAATGTTCGCATTTAAGAAGTTCCTTGTTCTTTATGTTTTTTGCTGCTATTCATAAGCATAGCATGTGACAGTAATGCCTTACAAACTAAAAATCCTAATTTCTATAAATGTTGGATGTATAATGGGGAGGGTTGAGAAATATGACATCATTCACTACTATGCAGCATTAACTGAACCATCCTACTCTATGAAGTATATCCAGAGAGACTATTTATGGAAGGAGATAGTCTCCACAGGCTGTACTTTATCAAACTAGAGTCACAGTCTGAAAGTGTTTCCTGTTTTTCCTGCTGCATTGTATAGTGTCTCTAGACCAAGTTTCCTTGTTTTTTTAAATTGACGACATATCATTACTTTACATCCTTGTTAGTTTTCTCACAATGTAGGTTTTCTTCTCTCAGATGTGGTCAGTATAGTTTTCCTGCCACCAAAGCACCCATAGTCCTCCATCATAGTCCATGTTTTAATGTAAACCAAGTGGTGTTGTCTGAAAACCTGGAGAAGTTGTGTTATGTCACAGCAAAATTATTTTACTCTCCTCTAAGTATTTCTATTGGTGGCTGTCCAGAAGAATCATGCTATTTAGGTTTGACATTGTCAGTTTATGATGCTGATTCTGCTAATGATACCATTTTGTGTCAGTTCTATAGGTTTGACTAGAATTATGCTCACTGTAAATAGCAATTCACTGTTGGTACTAAATGTCATCAAATATACTTTGATAAGTGATATCAGATGTCTTGCTGTTCATAAATATAAAGGAGGGGTGAGCCCAAGAGTTCTTTTCTAGTATTGTCTCCAAGTTGGTCCCTAAGGAATATTTGTTAGCTGTCTTATACTCTTAATATTCTATACATTTTCTACTGTTGATTAAAATGTGTTTTTTTCTTTACTAGCAAAAAAGAATTCTCACAAGGACACTCTTAAGAGGTAGGATTTTACAGATTTTAAAAATGTCTCAATTGATGGAATGCAGAGAAAAGCAATCAGTATTCGTTGAGTGTTTTATTTCAGGCTAGACACTGTGTTATGTGCTTCCCATTTGTTATCTCATATAGTTGTTTCAATAGCTTTGCAAAGTAACTGCTGTTCCAGCCCACCACTTTTTACCAATTAGGCAACTGTGCTTCAGGAAGCATCGCATGTGACAATAATGCCTTACAAACTAGATGGTTTGTAAGGAAAATTTAGTTCATCCACGATTCCATAGTTAAGAAGGTATTTGCTCCATGACTTGACCATTAGCCTGCCTGGCTTCCCTGTCCATTCTCTTGTCCCTAGGTACTTGTGCAGCTCTGGCATGAATATATAGACCCAACGCAAACCAACTCAGAAAGTTCAATTTAGTTATGTGCTAATTTTTATTTTCAGGTTTCCCTAAGAAGCTGGCTTAGTCCAGGCATTTGCCCCAATACATTTAACAATGGCAGTGGTAACTAAAACTTTGCACTTACCATCAAAAGTTTTAGGGTAGATCTCAGCTATGGTCATAGACTGCAGGTTTTACATCAGCAAGACTCAATCATGTAGGTCTTCTTAGGTGTAAAGATATTTTATGGTCCTTGAGGTAAATTGTTCTTCTTTAGGTGAAGATGATCTGTGGTTTATAGAACAGCTTATGTTAACCTCAGCATCTATTTAGAGGATATTTCTCATGGATTTCTATACTTTGTGACTTCATAGTTTGGTGTAATCATTAGGCTAGTAGCCTTGGCTAGTACTCTGTAGTCTTTTCATTTTTGGTATACCCTTTTTTATTCTTTTTCCATAACTTTTCTATAAGTTCCATAAGCTTTTCTTGATTTTTTTTTTTAACTTTCTTCTCTGCTGTTCTTGATGATTGTTTTGTTCTATTTTTTTCTACGTCTACCAGGGAGTTATTCTCCAATTTCCTATAGCAAAATAAAAAGCATGTAGAATTTCAGAATTTTAAAGAATCTTAGAGATTCAGTCAATCAAATGCCCTGTGTTTATGTTCTGAGCCAAATAGCTGTTCAAATGAATAATTGAAATTCAAAGAGATTAAACGGATTTCTTTGGGTATGGCATATGGCAAAAATGAGATTTAAACTCAGATTGTTCCTTTTTATTTATTTATTTATTTATTTTTAAGGATTATTTATTTATTTTTTAAGATTTATTTATTTTTATTTATGCAAGCACTGGGTACAGTCAGAAGTGCGGGAGGTGAGAGAATTCACCAGAGCCATGGCGGGGAGCATAGCAGGCAGAAGGACCAAAGTACACTGCTGAGGGGAACAGCGGGCAGCAGGAGAGGTCTGCGCGCCATGTGGGACCCTCCTCCGGTGGCAGGGGAGCAGCTGGGGATCGAACCAGGCGCTGCAGAGGCTGCGGGCAGCTTTGCAACCCAGCGCTCAACCGCTGCACCACTGGGGAGGCCCAGATTTTTCCTTTTTAAAAGAGATTGTCTCTAGGTGACTTTTTAATAAAAGAGAGGTGGGAATTGGATCTAGTGAACACAATGGAAGAAGATAAGAATGAATTAGCAGAGGCGGCCAAACTTCAATACCACCACCGAGTTGATATGAATAAGGGTTTTATAAAAGAGTTACAAAATGTTGGGGTTTAAGCAAGTTATATAAAGAGAAACTACAGGAACAAGTATGTTGGGAATATTAAGTAGAGGCATATTAAATAGAAATTTTAAAGGAGACTTAAATAGTTTGCTGCTTTTTTGTTGAATTGAGGGAACTAGCATACTTCATTTATATCAAAACACATAAAAACAATATGAGCCACCAGGAAGTGTCTCTGTATAGAAAATAGGATTGTGATATCCTCCTCCACCCCAAGTGACAGAAGCTGCCTTAGATCCCCCACACCTACCACGGTAGTTGAGATTACTAACCTACACAGATCTTTCACCTAAGGCAGGTGTTTCTTAGTCTCGGCCTCTCTTTCCATTTCACCGATGTCCCTGTCCATGTGCTGGCAGGGTTGCATGGAGCTAGGATGACTGTCAGGTCAGTCACAGGGCCTCATCTGACTGCTTGATCACAGGCCTGTTTTGGTAGTGAGTGCATAAGCTTTGTTTCGCTAATTTTCCAGCAGCAGGGAAATGACCTACTCTTGGTCATTTGAGCCCAGCACAGCCTTGTTTCTGGAATCCGTGCCGTCATAGGTTGAAGATTTAGAGGTTGGAGACTGCCACTGAGCCTGGTAGATGTGGGGGAATGGGAGCCCTGTAGTAAGGGAGATATTTAAATTGTATGCAAGGGAAATAGTGGCAGAACTCAGGACATTGTCTTTGCAGTAGTCTCTCTCCTTGGGTATCTGAGTACTTATGAACATTTTTAAAGGCTTGCCAGTTTATGGGGACCTGAAAAAGGCAGGACCTATATAGGCAAAATAATCAGAATTTATAATTTTTAATGTTTTAATTTCTCTGAGATTAGTAATTATTCTTTGACTTCAGTACATTTAGTTTTCAAACATTTTAGGGACCTCCCTATACAATTTCAGAGTGAAGGGAAGGAATGAATCCTAATAAGTGGTTTGCATGCTGAAGGAATAAGACTGCCATTTTTGACTGACATAGATTGGTCTTTGAACCAAGGACAGGTTATGAAGAAGAAACAGTATACCTTTCTTCTTTCTTTAAGTTATCAGGTTTATTGTAGTTCAGATAATAAAAGTTATGCCATCTATTAATTGGATTTTCAATGTAACCATCAGTACTTTTTGTAAGAACTACTTTTTTCTCAGAAGCTCTAATTTTTTTTATTATGGGCACTAAGAATGGAATTTTATTGGACATTTTACAGGCTGGGGGAAATAGAGGCAGAAATAGATACAAAAGTTTTTTTTTTTTTTGAAAAAAAATGGATTGCAAATTTGAATTATATAAAGAAAATTGATTTAGCATGAAGGTAGCCAAAGTTTCGCTAGATTTTTCAATGTAGAAATGAAATTTTTTTGTATATTTTATCTCTAAAGGCATCCTATGAAACGAAACTTTGATGATTCGTGTTCTACATTATTCGAAATCATAGATTTTGAAACTAAGGTAATGTGTGCTCTTGTGAAATGTTCTGCTCTGAATTTCGTTTCCATTTAGTATCTCAGTGTGGCATTCATTCATTCATGAATTATTGCCCCATTGGTTTCCTTTTTTCTTCTATCTTAAAAAGCTGACTTTATTAATACATGTTTTAATGTTTACTGGTGTAAATTTGATTTATACACTGTATATATTCTAGGGATATAGTTTCACACCTCAAAAAATGTATGTTATTATACCACACCCGCCACAAAAGCCCCTATAATCCTGCACTATATTCACTGGGCCTTATCTGCACTTCACTTCCTCTCTGCCCCTCTGGTAGCCTCGTTTCTTTTTTTTTTTTTTTTAATGTTTCGAAGGTTCACTTTCTTTTTTTTTTTAATTTTATTTTTATATTCCCCATACAATTGCAACCCCCTAATTTTGACCCCAATCCCTCCCCCTCCCGCCTTTTACCCCACTAGAGTGTCTCTGGTTCATAGATTTTTGTTGATTTTGATTTTCACTTTCTTATAGTTATTCATTTTCCTGCTCCATTATTTAAGTTTTCTAGATTCCTGTTATGAGTGAGACCATCCGGTATTTTTCTTTTTCTTTCTGGCTTTTTTCGCTGAGCATAATCCCTTCCAGCGCCATCCATGTTGCTGAAAATTGCATGTGTTTATCTTTTTTGAATGCTGAGTAATATTCTATGGTATATATGTACCACATCTTCTTGATCCAGTCATCTATTTTTGGGCATTTGGGTTGTTTCCAAAGCTTAGCTATTGTAAATAGTGCTGCTATAAACATAGGGGTGCAGGTGTTCTTTGGAATTGATGTTTCTGTGTCCTTTGGGTAAATACCTAGGAGTGGAATTGCTGGATCATATGGAAGCTCTATGTTTAGTAGGTCTAGAAATCTCCACATAGCTCTCCATAGTGGTTGGACCAGTATGCACTCCCACCAACAGTGCAGAAGAATTCCTTTTTTTCCACAATCTCGCCAACATTTGTTGTTGCTAGTTTTTTTTAATATGTGCCATTCTCACTGGTGTAAGATGGTATCTCATGGTAATTTTGATTTGTATTTCCCTGATGACAAGTGATGTTGAACATTTTTTCATATGCCTGCTGGCCATTTGCATTTCCTCTTCAGAGAAGTTTCTTTTTAGCTCTTCTGCCCATTTTTTGACTGGATTATTTTCTTTGTTGTTGTTGAGTCTCATCAGCTCTTTGCAGATTTTTGTGATCAGTCCTTTATTATTAGTGTTGTGTGCAAAAATGTTCTCCCAGTTGGTGGGTTTCTCTTTGTTTTTGTTATTGTCTCTTTTGCTGTGCAGAAGCTCTTTAATTTGATGTAGTCCCAGCTGTTTATCTTTGCCTTCACTATCACTGCTTTGGGTGATGTGTCTGTAAAGATGTCTTTGATGTGCATATCATGTAGTGTTTCGCCTATATTTCCTTCTATGTATTTTATGGTTTCAGGTCTTATGTCTAGTTCTTTAATCCATTTTGAGTTGATTTTTGTGTATGGTGTGAGGTAGTGGTCAAGCTTCATTCTTTTGCATGTAGCGACCCAGTTTTCCCAGCACCATTTATTGAACAAACATTCTTTGCTCCAATGCATAGTCTTTGCTCCTTTGTCAAAGATTAGTTGACCATAAATCTGTGGGTTTATTTCTGGATTTTCTATTTGATTCCATTGGTCTGTATGTCTGTTCTTGTTCCAAAGGTAGCCTCATTTGTATAGTCATATTTTAACTGTTCATTTTTGTTTGTTCTCTTACTTTGCTTCTTTATTAAATTCTACAGTTAAGTGAAATCATCTAGAGTTATCCCAGAGTCTTATAATCATGAAAGGGATCAAAAAAGAGTCAAAATGAGAGAGATTGTTATAAAAACCTGACAGAAATAGTGAGTTTGAGTGAGAGCAGGAAATTTGTAAGAAGATAGGAGGGAAGTTCCCAGGAATGGATGGAGCAGACCCCATCATGGATGTGTGCCTGAAAGAGCCTGAACCTGTAATGGACAGATGCAGTGGGGGCAGCCACGGGCGTACCCCAGGAGAGTGGGAGCAGCCATGGGCGTAACCCCAGAGTGGCAGCAGCCACAGGTGTGCCCTAGGGGAGTAATCCTATTTTTGTGGATGTCCCCACATTGGGGAGGAACTCCCCTAGACCTAAGCATCCTCAGGCCTCGATATACTATCTATCTCTTGCACTCCCTCTTCTCTGGGTGGAAGGCAGGCTGCCTCAGAATTCCTATTTAAGAAGAACAGCTTGCATTTAGCCCACATATGGCTAATCTTACTACCATTTAACAAGAAAACCCTGTAGCATTTATGATGAGTTACAATGCAAGACCAAGAGGCCTAGCTCTGACACTGTAAGATCTAAGATAGGGCCTCCCCTGGTGGCGCAGGCGGTTGAGCGCCAAGCTGTGAGGCTGCCCACAGCCTCTGCAGTGCTGGTTCTATCCTGGCCGGCCAGTGAGGGTCCCACATGGCGCGGCAGTCCTCTCCTGTTGCGCCCACTGCTCCCCTCAGAGGTGTGTTTCATCAGTCTGCGTGTTCTGTTTCCCAATATGTCTCTGATGAGTCCTTTCACCCCCCCCCACACATCTGGCCTGTACCCTGGTTCTTGGATGAATAAGTAAATAAATCTTTAAAAAAAAAAAAGATCTAAGATAGCTGACTGGATTTGTGTTAGTCCCTCACAAATCTTGAAGGTAAGGCAGATATAACAACCTTCAGAGTTGAACCTCGAGTTAAAGGCTTGGGTCCACTTATTAACCAAGGAGAGGAAATCTTCTTCCCATAGCAAGGGGAGGAAACTATTAAATTACCAGTGATGTAGGAAGGCACTTAAGGGAACTCTCAGAGGGGGGACGCTACCTGAGCAAGAACAAGGCCGAATGGGTTACTGGCTACTTGTGGCTCATTGCAGTTGATTAGGATGAAAAGGAAGTAGTGAACGAATGTGGTTCGAGTTAGGGAAGAGCACTAGAAAATTGGTCATGAAAAGCAAGTCCAGGTCTCGTTTTTATAATCCCAAGAGGTGGAGAGCTGCGGGATGGGACATGTGGAATGCTTATTAGGAGTTCCTGCATTGCTGCACCCTTCTTGCGGTTGGCAGGACTAGAGCTAACCCAGGGTGCACGCCAACTTATCCTTTCACGGGAGATTTCTAGAAAGCAGCAGCCGGCCCTAGTGGCCTTTTACATGGCCGACCCGTGCCCACTATTTTTTTTTTTTTTTTTTTTGCGGCAAGAGTGAGGCCTAGTTTGAAAACAGAACTCAGGAGCCAGCTCTGTTCCCCATTTAGAGAGGGAACAGCGGCTCGACTACGATTGATTAGCAACGGAGTGAGGCAAAGAGAGAGGCATGAGGTGTTCACTCGGTCAGGCTTAGGGCAACTGGAAGGTCATGCCTCCATGTTTTGGGACCCGCTAAAGAGTAGCCTTGGCCTGAGCCCCTCAGTCTTTGTTGGACAGCCAAACAGTCACCAAACACCAACTCCTCTCAAAAAGGAGGTTATAATAGCATGAAGATAGAAAAAACTGGAGAAATCTTACTGATGCCATGGAAAACCAAATGTTGGGAGCCAAAATGATGTGGTTTTTTTTGGAGTGCAGGGTCCGTGGGTTCACCCTGGGAAAGTTTTCACCAGAGCTCCTGTTTCAATGACATGCAGCAAGTTTCTCCACGAGACAGAGATGATGGTTATATATTTTTTTAAGATTTATTTTATTTATACAAGAACTGGGGTATAAGCCAGATGTGCAGGAGGGTGAGTGGATTCAACAGAGACAGAGCAAGGAACAGAACAGGCAGATCTACTGAAATACACTGCTGAGGGGAGCAGCAGGTGAGACAGGAGAGGTGTGCTGCGCCATATGGGTTGCTCCGTGCCTGCAGGGATCGAACCGACACTGCAGAGGCTGTGGACAGCTTCACAGGACTGTGCTCAACCGCCTGCACTGCCAGGGAGTCCCCAGTAGTTATATTTAAATAGCAGGTTTATTAGAAAAGGAACAGGACAGTAAAAGACACTTGCATAGACACAAGTGGGCAGAAAGAACTGTTCCAAAAGGGACAGGTTTGCTAAGAGAGGCCTGCATGGTTGCAGGTGGGCGGCATTGAGGAGAGCCGCCTCCACTGAGGGAGATCAGTGAGGAGAAGTCCTGGCATGGTATAGGTCATGGACAGGCAGGAAGGCTGCTGCCCTGCAGAGGGAGAAGATTGGTGAGAAGAAGACCCTGCATAGTCACAGGTGGGCAGAGAGTGCTTCCCTGTTGTGGGAGCTGCCTTAGGTTTTATAATCTTCAGGAAGGGCCTAATCTTTGTGGGTGGATGGTTTGTGCCTCTATGGCAGTCTGATAGTTTCTGGGTGTTGCACCTCCTGATCTGGGCGTTGATGACTAAGAGTCTTGGTTTCTGTAACTGGGTTAATGGATTACGCTAATCCCTTCTACCCTTACCTCCTTGTATGAGTTAGGTTCCTGACCTTGTATCTCCTTCCTCCATCATCTGTCACTGATCATGCCATATAGGAGAAAAAAGATTACAGGAGGTATACAATTTCAAGAATGCCTGGGGGAGGGGCTCCCTGGTGGTGCAGAAGTTTCAGTCACAGTACTGTGGGGCTGTCTACAGCCACTGCAGCACGGGTTCAAACTCTAGTGGAGGAGGTGATCTACATGGCGCAGCAGACCTCTCCTGATTGGCCTGCTCCTCCCCTCAGCAGTGTGTTTCAGTCGGTATGCCTTTTCTGTACCCCAATCTTTTTCTGGTGAAGCCCCTCACCCCCACACCTCTGGCCTGTACCTCAGTTCTTATATCATAAATAGATAAATCTTTTATTTTTTTAAGATTTATTTATTTATACAAGCACTAGGTACAATCAGAAGCACAGGAGGGTAAGAGAATTCACCAGAGCCAGAGCGGGGAGCAGAGCAGGCAGACTGACGAAGTACACTGCTGAGGGGGGCATTGGGCATGGCAGGAGAGGTCTGTAGGCCAGGTGGGACCCTTACCAGTGGCCGGGGATCAAACCAGCGCTGCAGAGGCTGTGGGCAGCTTTGCAGCTCAGCGCTCAACCACTGCACCACCACCACTGGGGAGGCCCAATAAATAAATCTTTAAAAAAAAAATGATTGCATGGGAGCTGGAGGGAGGTGGAGTGGGAGGAGAAGAAGGAGTCTGTTTACCAGAGATAATAGCATACATAATCTATACATTATCTGCTTAAACTACTTCTCAGATCCCTTTTGAATGTCTTGATGTTATCTTGAAACATTTCCTAGACCATCCCTGGACACAGACCAACACATCCTATCAATGGCTACCTAGGCATCCCCAGGCCTACCTCACAGTGGGGCCCGTTGTCCTTGGGGCCATCATTCAGTAATGTAGTGTACAACTAGATCGGTTTAAATATAGATTAATCAGAACATTCCAGGTCAAGGTACAAACTGGTCAGAATATTCCAACTTAATGACTGTGCCGTCATTGAGGAAGAAAGATCCAGGCACAGCACCCACACATATGAATTTTCTCCAATGTCTGTTTTCAGATTTGATAGTAGCTGTCTGATGTATTTTGGTGCTCCTTTGTTTGTTGAGTACATATTGATGAGTGTTATGTCTCCCTGCTGTATTGTTCCCTTTATCATGGTATAGAGTCATTCCCCATCTCTTTTTTACTTTTTTAAGCTGGATGTCTATTTTGTTTGATATGTAACTATGGCTTTTCCTGCCTTCCTTTGAGTGTCGTTTACTTACAGGATAGTTTTCCATTCCTTTATTTTCAGTCTACCTTTCTCCTTGGTACTTAAATGTGTTTCCAGGAGGCAGCAGAAGATGGGATTCAGTTTCTGTGTCTTTTTATTGGTGCATTCAGTCCATGAATGTTTAGAGTAATTATTTGCATATGAAAGTCCATCACTGCCATTTTGTTCCAAGATGTGGTTCTTTTAATTCCTCACTAAATTGCGTTTGTCCCTCTCTCTGCTTTGGATCCTAAAGCTTCTTTTGATATTTCTTGGAGGAGAGGTTTAATGGATGCAAACTTCCGATCTCTCTCTTGTATAAAAAGGAAAGCCTTGTAGGATAGAGTATTATCTAGCATTCTTTTTCCTTATGAGTATTTTGAATGTCACTTCATTATCTTCCTGCCCATATTGTTTCTTCAGGGAGATATGTTTGTTTTATCAGTGTTCTTTTATAGGTTATCTGTTTCTTCCACCCCATCAGCTTCATTATTTTTTCTGTGTCTTAGACTTTTGGGTTTTTACTATTCTGTGACTTGCAGTAGTTTTCCTTTTGTCTAGGTAGTGTTACAGGGCAACCCGTATATGAAACGGGTTGCTTGACTGTGGGTCCTCACAGTGCGCTTAAAAGGGAGTTATAATAATAATACTCAACTGCAGGCACAAAACAAAAAGGTTAATAAAGGGTTTATTTACAAAAGAAGGGGAAATGAAGAAATGATTAACTCAGGGACACATATGGAGATAATTCATGAATGCATCCTACTAGTTCCACTGAGCTGGAATCCCAATGGCAATAAGTCAAGAGTCAAGCCAAGAGCTGAGAGGCCATGGGGAACCCCAAGGCCCACATGTCTGGTTTTATACCAAGCCTGGCTGCTAGCTCCACCCTCAGTTCCCAGCAACTCTCCTTTGGGTGATGATGGGATTTGTAGTTCCCAGTGTCTCAATGGCTTTGGTCTGAAGTCAGGGTGGAGTCCACAAAACCCGTGTGGAGCTTGTTCAGGACATAATTTCCCCCTAACAGTAGCCTAGTGTTTCCTTTGCTTCCTGTATTTCTATGTTCATTTCCTTTTTCAAGGTTGGGAATTTCTCAGGCGCTATTTCCCGAAATCAATCCTCAGTGCTGTTCTATTTCTTCTCCATCTTTGATTCCTGTGATTCATGCTGTCAGATAATTCTCAAAGGATTTCCTCATTCCTTCCCCTTTTCTATCTTGCTTCTTACTCTTTTTGATTCTTGAGATCACTGATTTGCTCTTCCACTTGATTTATTCTAATTTCATGGCTTTCTCCTGAATTTTTTGTTTCTTCCTGTAATTCTGTTAATTTCCTGTTTAAAGTCACACTTTCAATCATTGTTGCTGATTGGGTTTCTCATAGTGTTCATTTCCCTTTCTGAGATTTGTTTATTCCCATTTTGACATTTTCTTAACCATGGTATACTTGAATTCTGCATCTGATTGGTCAAAGAGCTCTTCTATGTGTTTGTCGTTTGGTTCTGGAGTTTTGTTTCTCTAGTGGTGTGTTATTTCCCTGATGGCTTGCCTGGCATTTCATATTTTTATTCTTGTCCATTTTTGGTTGTGGATTTTCTCTGCTGTAGTTTTGGGTTTTGTTGTGTGTCTTTTCCACTGCTTTGGGTATTCATTAGATGTTGGGTATAGTTACTAGAGTATTGTTGGATCTGGAGTGATCCTAGAGCCTTCCCCAAAGCCCTTTGGCTTTGTTCTGGTTGCTGGGAGGGTGGGTGGGGCCATTGGTTGTAGAGGGTCTGTCACTGGGACCTCATTCCACCCAGGGATGGTATCATTTTAAAATATAAGCATTGGAATGTTATTCAAAATGTAAAGAACATTCTTTGACTTTACTTTCCCACTTCTGTGTTTCCCATAAAATTATTCCCTTAGAGTTTTTAAAGTGCACGTAATAAAATAATTATGTACTAAGTGTACTACCACCACTATTACATCATATAAGTCTACTAATTGGCAAAAGGCACTTAATGAAACTAGTTTGGTATAGTGCCAAAAACTAAGGCTTAGAAGTCATAAAAATTCATGTTGTGTTATGAAGTTAAGTTTATCTAAAAACTAAAGAATTATTTCGGGTCTCCCTAAGGCCAGTCATTATTCTGTGATATACATGAGAGTAACAAAAAGACTAGTGAGCGTAGGTCTTGCACAATGTTACAAACACCATATTTGAAATCAAAAGACATGTTAGTATCTTGGCTTTGTCACTTCCTAGCCACAGAATCTTGAACAAAATTATTGAACCTCTTTATATGTCCATGACCTTGTTTATAAAAATGATATTCATACTTTCTTCTCAGGTATATGTAATGAACAGATGTAGTAACAAATAAAAATAATTGGTAAACTATAAAGAGTGTTATAGAAATATGACAATGCCATCAGGGTGATATTTAGTGCTTTCTACATATTGAATAACTTTTTGAAACTGTGAAGGACAATCAAATGGTAGTGGTATCAAAAAAGAATGGGAGTGTTAAAATTGGCATTTGGATTTCTTATTAGGGCTATGTTAATTGGGCTATTATTAGTGATATCCTTTGTATAGTGATAAGTTGTATATTGTGGTTTGGTACTTGAAACCTTCTTCATAATATTTTAAAGGTTTTGACTATTAAAGTTTCTATCCTTGAATACCAACGATGTGTATGGCACTTAAATACTGCATGTACAAGTTGAGGGGTAGAAGTTGCAGGAGCAGAAAAATTAGCAGCCGATTCATTGTAAGTCTTTCTAAGTATTTCATATAAAGAAACATGAGAATTTTAGGTTAGAATAGATTGGGGGAGTTCATAGTCAGAGTGGGAATGGGAGTAGCAGTAGTATTTTGATGGTCAAAAGTGATCTCTCTGAGTGAGCCAAAAGCTGCCAAGGGAAGGATGAGAAGGAGTCATTCCTGTGAAGGTGCAGAAGAAGGACATTCTGATGAGAGAAAACAGTAAGTCATATCTGTTCATTTTATTTAAACATGTCAGAATTTCTAACAAGGAAGCAGGAAGTGGGGTAAGCATCATCGTAATCCCTTCTTTTCTGTGTTGAAGATATGTGTGAAGGCTTAGCACATTTTAGAGAATTAATAAATGTTCTTCTCTTATGAAAGCTTACATGCTTTTTTTTTTTTTTTTGAGTTAACATAACTCAAGTTTTTGGTTAAAGACCTTAATGAAGAGATTTCGGAACTACTTTGCTGTTTTATTCAATTGTTTTCTCTTTCAGTAAAATTTTTAGTAACTAATTCATTAATGGTAAATTTCACCATTGAGTTTCTTTTCTTAATAAATTGTTAGATTACACTTTTTGTGATAAATCATCAGTATTTCTATGGAAATAATATGGTATTGTGAATGATAAAAGAATAGTCTTCCAACTGAATAGGCCAAAATCCACCACCTCAGACTCCCTTGCTGCATAGGATGACAAATTCACATAGCACTGAGGAGAGTCTGTGTTATCTGAACAATGATAGGCAGGTTTAAAGTTAAGATGTCTCTGTGAGATTAGGTTGGCAGTCAGTCCTGGGACCAGCAGCCATGATAGTGCTGGCTGCTAGAAGGCTACGTAGATCCTGTCATTGAAGATTCCAGGACTGAAATGGGCAACGTGAATGGTTCCGGTGGCAGCAACAAATATCAGCACAACTTGCTGGCTAGTGTTCCTGGAAGATATGACACTGATATCAGCCAGTTTCAATGACAATACAGCTCGAGCCACCTATGGAAGCTTCTTGCAGGTTATCTTCAAATTTGTGATGTAAGTACCATCACATTTCCCCTTGTAGATGTACTGTTCCATTTGGAAGTCAAGGTTAGTGGCGCGTAAATGGGTTCCTGCTGCAAGGAATGTGAGGATTTTCTCCTCCTTCATTTTCAGGCTTGCAAGGGTTCCAGACCCTGTGAAAGTTTTGAAGGAAAAACATTGGGGGGATATTAGTACTTATTAAAATCATAAGAAACTGAGTAAAATTATAAAAGTAGTGAAAACAAAAAGTTCTTAAATAAAGTAATAGCAATGATCCCTAATATCAAACTTTGATTAAAGGTTAAAGAAGGAAAGAAGCATGAAAGTAGTGACTTGAAATTAGAAGACATATCTGATTCTGATAGTGTCTGCAGTGGATTAACTCAACAAGCAAAGAGTGGAAAAACTGATAATCAGCACTGTTCTATTTCAATGACCAAAGAAGATCCTTATAGGTAATAATAGTTTACTATAGGTACTATTTATTTTTTATAAGTTATTCAAATTTGAGTGAGTATAATGATTAACAACTCAGTTTTTTGCTAGAGATATCTAAATTTGCCGAGTAGTCATAAAAATGCAAATTAATAATGAGATATCATGTTTAAAATCATAATATGTACTTTATTAAAACAATAATAACAAGGGTTGACAAATGTGAGGGGTATTCTTAGACACTTTGATAGAGGAATTTGGTAAGTTCATTCTGAAGGGGAACTCAATGGCGTCTTTCAGAATTTCAAGCATATTTTCTATCTTGAAGTAAATGCTGTAAGTACTTTAACAAATAGGTTGATCTAAAGCAGCAAAATTAGAAGGCAAAGAAATACAACACAAGATACATTGAGCTATCAAGGGACTGTGTTTTCATAAGGAGAGAAATATCCAAAGTTCAACCACAAATACAAGGAAAACTTAATCTCTTATCAAATACAGACTTAAAAATTGTCATAAAGAAGTGGAAGAAAACATGGAAAGGCAAGTCAAAGTGAACAAAGGAACTTAGAAAAGCTAATTAGAGTGATAGAACAAATGTCATGGAAATAAAAATACTGATTTAAATAAGAAAATAACAGAATTGTAGGATTGTAAAAAGACCAATAGAGGAGATAAAAAGTTTCTGGAGACAGCTATGGAAATAGATTACACCAAGTGGGGAATGAATCAGTGGTCTCAAAGGCCCCAGGTGGAAGATGAAAGAGAAAGACAAACAAAAGGAAATGAAGAGACATTTCAGTAACTACCTGATTCCATTAGAAAAGGCTCATGAGGATATTGGGTACTCCAGAAGAGGGGGGGGCAGAGCAGAGAACTTATTTCAAAGAAATAAGAGAAGAAAAACTTCCCAAACCTGAGAGAGGAATAAATTATACAGGTCCACAAAGCTAAAAGAATACTTGGTTATTTAAATATAATGAGCCCTACACCAAGCCACATAGGTGTGGCTACCTCATCAGATGAATATTCATGCCAACAGCAACCACCAGTGTATCAATGTTGCTTTACTGTAGGTGTGGGTCCCCTGTCTGTTTAGTTCTAACCCCCTCCCAATACTTTGTGATCCTTTTCTAGTGCAGTCAGTTGTAGTCCTATATTCTTGGCTTGTTTTGTTTTGTTTTCTAGTACCTTTGTTTAGTGAGTGTGAGGAGGAGATGCATTGCATACATACTTTAGTATCTTTCTGCATCTATTCATAAACTCAAAAAATATGTTAAATTCAATATGGAAGCACAATCAGGAGACATTTTATTTTTGAATTTTCCTTTACTTTTCTGATAAATATGTGTCACATGGAGCTGATTAGAAAAGAAGGAGGTTATTACTGAAATACTAAATAATCATGATTGTGTATTTCAAACTCGTCAAAAGAAGAATTGTAACCCACCATGGTATGCTATGAGCTGTAAAGGCCTACAAAACTACCTATCCCCAGTTTCCCTTGCTTTCATTATTGAACTTACAGCAGTAATGTTCCCACTCATTCCTGCTCAAAATTTGCTTTCTAATGGTTACCACAGATTTTTCACTTTGTGATATTGACACATAGTTTTTAGACCCATGGGCTATGTCTGCCTCAATGGAAATCACTCTCCTTTTACATACTTTCTTCATTTGACTCTATGCTGTGGGAGAGCTCACTTGCCTGGTATCCTACTCCCATTTCTTATACTTTGACTTCAATAAGTTTTTCCTACCTCTTTTCAACTGCATTGCCTTTGCACAAGTTGAAATATCCCAGGTCTTCTATCCATGACTTTTACTTCCATGAATATGCTAAAGATGTCCAAAGTTATAGTTACGCTACAGATATCTTAATTTCCGAACTGTACTCCCTGCACTTGCAGGTAGGTTCCTCACATGATGTGCAGTTCTGGGTCAATCAGGACATAACTGCAATTATTTTTATACATGACAGAACTAATTGTTGTTTTGAGTAGGGGAGACTTCTTTGGACATTACACTGATGTCATTTCATTTAGGTTTCCCAGGATCTTTGGCCCCATGACTTTTACTTCCTTGAATATGATAGATGCCCAAAGTTGCATTTACGCTACCAGCCTTACCTTAATTTCTGACATATATTCACTGCACCTGCTCTGGGTCCTCTCTCCAGGTATATCGTACTGGATTACTGTGATCAGAAAGACAACTTTTGTTTTTGTCTATGGGTGATACCATTTTGAGGTTTGTGGCAGGTGAAACTGATGAGGTACATCTTACGTGCATATGACCCTGATGTCACTGCAAGATATCTGTAGTGATGTTTTAAAAGTAAAACTTTTTCACCCATGAGAATTTATCAGAGACCTTCCAATATCTGTTCCCAGTACAAGTTCAATTAGGTGCTCATTTTTACATTAAAAAATACAAAGGCCAAAGAACAGTGCACATTGAATAATTAGTCTCTTGTCTAAGCAGCAGTAGTTTTCCACAGTGAACTCAGATTTTCAGTGTGGCATTGAATATGTTTTAAAATTTCTGGGTGCACTGAACTCTCAGTTATTGTTCTTTCCCTTTCAAACACAGAGGAAACGCAGAGATGTGTGTTTAGGAAACACAGAGATGTGATGTGCCCTATCATTCTGTTTACGATCGATTGTCTATGTAGTGTGGTTTCTCCACCAGTACCTTTGGTGACCTGCTGTATTTCTTTTTCCACCTGCGTATAGCCTCCCAGCATGTCAAAAATGTACTCTTTACCATCACATTGTGTCATAATTGTACATGTGGCTTTGAAGCAAGGAGTAATCTCCTTGCTTATGGTTTTTTCTTCATCACGGTTTTAAGATAATACCAGTGAATGCAGGTGGATAATGTTGGAATGTTGTAAAAGTTGTTTCATTACACTTTATCTTAGAAAACACGAGGCTTACATGGTTTCCTCTTTCAAAGTAGGGTTTCTGACACAGTGAAGAAGACAACCCAACGTGATTCAGCGTCTTGCCCAGTATCTGCGGTTATAGCTAGTACAAAGCCTGTTGTGATTCCAGTGCATGCAGTCGGCGGGAGACACAAACCAGATAAGAATGTCACAAGGTAAAAACAACTCCTCCTTTAAGGTTCAAGGACAATTTGCTGTGATTGCTTTTGTCAGTCCAAGCAAAATAAATTCTCTATTATAGGCAAACACTGCTGAAAGTTGAATGATGTAGATCATTGTGTTTTTCTCACTTCATCGAGGCAGTGTTTTTTTCCAAGCGGGTGTGTGCTTTAGGAGATATGTTCACACCTCATCAGGTGAATGCAGTGCTTGACACCCACCACTAATGTCCCATAATGCTTTGCTAAGGAAGTTAGGCCCCATCACTATTTTATTCTCCTCCCAACCCTTTGTGCTTCAGTCATATATTCTGCTTTTTTTTTTCAGATTTCTAGTTCCTTAGCTTAGTGACTGTGAAGGAGACCTATTTCAATAAATACTTTAATATCTATCCATCAACGATTTATAAATTCAATAAATAGATTCAAGTCAATAAAAGGAAACACATTGAATATATCATCATAGGGTTTGTTTGTTTCTTTTTAAATTTAACTTCAATTTGTTAACCATTTTGTTTCACATGCAAGTGGTTAGAAAAGAAGTACACTATTACAGAAATACCAAATAATCATTGTAATGTACTTGCAACTATTCAAACAAGAAGAAACGTTTATCTCCATTGTATCCGATGAGCTCTTGAAGGCTCACAGAACTATCTTACCCTCTCTCTCCTGTTTTCACTCTTGAACTTTTTTTTTTTTTTATAGAGGCATGTTTATTTATTTATTTATTTGTTTGTTTGGTTTTTGTTTATACATGCACTGGGTACAGTCAGAAGCGCGGGAGGGCAAGAGAATTCACCAGAGCCAGAGCGGGGAGCAGAGCAGGCAGAAGGACCGAAGTACACTGCTGAGGGGAGCAGCGGGCAGCAGGAGAGGTCTGTGCGCCATGTGGGACCCTCCTCCGGTGGCCGGGGAGCAGCCGGGGATCGAACCGGCGCCGCAGAGGCTGCGGGCAGCTTCGCAACCCAGCGCTCAACCGCTGCGCCACCGGGGAGGCCCTCACTCTTGAACTTTTAACAGTAAGGATCCCACTCATGCATGGTCCAAACTTGCTTTGTAAAGGCCACAAGGATTTTTCACTCTATGATAGCAACACATATCTCTTTAGACCCATGGGCAATGTCTGCATCGATGGCGATCATTCTCCAACCACATAATATTTTCATTTGACTTTAGGCTCTGTTAATTTCAGTGGGAGAGCTCACTTACCAGGTTTCTCCCTCCCATTTCTCAGTTTTTGACCTCACTCTGTTTTTCCTATTTCTTCTCAAAGCCCATTACCTTTGGACAAATTGAGGTTTCCCAGGATCTTTGGCCCCATGACTTTTACTTCCTTGAATATGATAGATGCCCAAAGTTACATTTACGCTTCAGGCCTTTCCTTAATTCCTGACATGTACTCACTGCACCTGCACTGGGTCCTCTGTCCTGGTGTATGGTACTGGATCACTGAGATCAGAAGGACAACTTCTGTTTTTGTCTATGGGTGATGCCATTTTGAGGTTTGTGGCAGGGGAAACCGATGAGGTACATCGTACATGCATATGACCATGATGTCACTGCAAGATACATGTAGTGAATGTTTTAAAATTAAATCTTTTTTCCCAAGAGAATTTATCAGAGGCCTTTCAATATCTGTTCCCAGTACAAGTTCAATTAGGTGCTCATTTTTACATTAAAAAATACAAAGGCCAAAGAACAGTGCACAATGAATAATTAGTCTCTTGTCTAAGCAGCAGTAGTTTTCCACAGTGAACTCAGATTTTCAGTGTGGCATTGAATATGTTTTAAAATTTCTGGGTGCACTGAACTCTCAGTTATTGTTCTTTCCCTTTCAAACACAGAGGAAACGTAGAGAAGTGTGTTTAGGAAACACAGAGATGTGATGTGCCCTATCATACTGTTTACGATCGATTGTCTATGTAGAGTGGTTTCTCCACCAGTACCTTTGGTGACCTGCTGTATTTCTTTTACCACCTGCGTATAGCCTCCCAGCATGTCAAAAATGTACTCTTTACTATCACATTGTGTCATAATTGTACATGTGGCTTTGAAGGAAGGAGTAATCTCCTTGCTTATGGTTTTTCTTCATCATGGCTTTAAGAATATATCAGTGAATGCAGGTGGATAATGTCGGAATGTTGTAAAAGTTGTTTCATTACACTTTATCTTAAAAAACACGAGGCTTACATGGTTTCTTCTTTCAAAGTAGGTTTCCTGACACAGTGAAGAAGACAACCCAACGTGGTTCAGTGTCTTGCCCAATATCTGCGGTTGTAGCCAGCACAAAGCCTGTTGTGATTCCAGTGAATGCAGTCCGCGGGAGACACGAACCAGATAAGAATGTCACAAGGTAAAAACAACTCCTCCTTTAAGGTTCAAGGACAATTTGCTGTGATGGCTTCTGTCAGTCCAAGCAAAATTAAGTCTCTATTATAGGCAAACACTGCTGAAAATTGAATGATGTAGATCATTGTGTTTTTGTCACTTCATCGAGTCAGTGTTTTTTTCCAAGCCGGTGTGTGCTTTAGGAGATATGTTCACACCTCATCAGGTGAATGCAGTGCTTGACACCCACCACTAATGTCTCATAATGCTTTGCTAAGGAAGTTAGGCCCCATCACTATTTTATACTTCTCCCAAATCCCTTGTGCTTCAGTCATATATTCTGCTTTTTTTTTCATATTTCTAATTCCTTAGCTTAGTGACTGTGAATGAGGCCTATTGCAATAAATACTTTAATATCTATCCATCAACGATTTATAAATTCAATAAATAGATTCAAGTCAATAAAAGGAAACACACTGAATATATGATCATAGGGTTTGTTTGTTTCTTTTTAAATTTAACTTCAATGTGTTAACCATTTTGTTTCACATGCAAGTGGTTAGAAAAGAAGTACGCTATTACAGAAATACCAAATAATCATTGTAATGTATTTGCAACTATTCAAACAAGAAGAAACGTTTATCTCCATTGTATCCCATGAGCTCTTGAAGGCTCGCAGAACTATCTTTCCCTCTCTCTCCTGTTTTCACTCTTGAACTTTTAACAGTAAGGATCCCACTCATGCATGGTCCAAACTTGCTTTGTAAAGTCTACAAGGATTTTTCACTCTATGATAGCAACACATATCTCTTTAGACCCATGGGCAATGTCTGCATCGATGGCGATCATTCTCCAACCACATAGTATTTTCATTTGACTTTAGGCTCTGTTAATTTCAGTGGGAGAGCTCACTTACCAGGTTTCTCCCTCCCATTTCTCAGTTTTTGACCTCACTCTGTTTTTCCTATTTATTCTCAAAGCCCATTACCTTTGGACAAATTGAAGTTTCCCAGGATCTTTGGCCCCATGACTTTTACTTCCTTGAATATGATAGATGCCCAAAGTTACATTTACGCTGCAGGCCTTTCCTTAATTCCTGACATGTACTCACTGCACCTGCACTGGGTCCTCTGTCCTGGTGTATGGTACTGGATCACTGAGATCAGAAAGACAACTTCTGTTTTTGTCTATGGGTGATGCCATCTTGAAGTTTGTGGCAGGGGAAACCGATGAGGTACATCATACATGCATATGACCATGATGTCACTGCAAGATACATGTAGTGAATGTTTTAAAAATAAATCTTTTTTCCCAAGAGAATTTATCAGAGGCCTTCCAATATCTGTTCCCAGTACAAGTTCAATTAGGTGCTCATTTTTACATTAAAAAATACAAAGGCCAAAGAACAGTGCACATTGAATAATTAGTCTCCTGTCTAAGCAGCAGTAGTTTTCCACAGTGAACTCAGATTTTCAGTGTGGCATTGAATATGTTTTAAAATTTCTGGGTGCACTGAACTCTCAGTTATTGTTCTTTCCCTTTCAAACACAGAGGAAACGCAGAGATGTGTGTTTAGGAAACACAGAGATGTGATGTGCCCTATCATACTGTTTACGATCGATTGTCTATGTAGTGTGGTTTCTCCACCAGTACCTTTGGTGACCTGCTGTATTTCTTTTTCCACCTGCGTATAGCCTCCCAGCATGTCAAAAATGTACTCTTTACCATCACATTGTGTCATAATTGTACATGTGGCTTTGAAGGAAGGAGTAATCTCCTTGCTTATGGTTTTTTCTTCATCACGGTTTTAAGAAAATATCAGTGAATGCAGGTGGATAATGTTGGAATGTTGTAAAAGTTGTTTCATTACACTTTATCTTAGAAAACACGAGGCTTACATGGTTTACTCTTTCAAAGTAGGGTTCCTGACACAGTGAAGAAGACAACCCAATGTGATTCAGTGTCTTGCCTAGTATCTGCGGTTATAGCTAGTACAAAGCCTGTTGTGATTCCAGTGAATGCAGTCCGCGGGAGACACGAACCAGATAAGAATGTCACAAGGTAAAACCAACTCCTCCTTTAAGGTTCAAGGACAACTTGCTGTGATTGCTTTTGTCAGTCCAAGCAAAATAAATTCTCTATTATAGGCAAACACTGCTGAAATTTGAATGATGTAGATCATTGTGTTTTTCTCACTTCATCGAGGCAGTGTTTTTTTCCAAGCGGGTGTGTGCTTTAGGAGATATGTTCACACCTCATCAGGTGAATGCTGTGCTTGACACCCACCACTAATGTCCCATAATGCTTTGCTAAGTAAGTTAGGCCCCATCACTATTTTATTCTCCTCCCAACCACTTGTGCTTCAGTCATATATTCTGCTTTTTTTTTTTTCAGATTTCTAGTTCCTTAGCTTAGTGACTGTGAATGAGGCCTATTGCAATAAATACTTTAATATCTATCCATCATTGATTTATAAATTCAATAAATAAATTCAAGTCAATAAATGGAAACACACTGAATATATGATCATAGGGTTTGTTTGTTTCTTTTTATATTTAACTTCAATTTGTTAACCATTTTGTTTCACATGCAAGTGGTTAGAAAAGAAGGAGACTATTACAGAAATACCAAATAATCATTGTTATGTATTTGGAACTATTCTACAAAAATAAGTTTGACCCACCATTGTATCTATGAGCTCTTGAATGCTAAATGAATACTGGGTTATTTAAATATAAAGAAATCTCCACTAAATCACATAGGTGTGAATCTATCTAGTGATCAAGGCAAGAATTTCGAATGTGGATAGGGAATGAAGACAGATAACCTATAGAGGTACTCCTCCCACCGGCTTACAGCAGAATTTTCTGAGCCAAGTGAGAATGGAATGACATATTAAAAATACTTAAAGAATAAATCTGCCAGCTCTGAATACTGTATCTTCAAGACTGTCCTTCACATCTGAGAGAGAAATGAAGGTCTTTGTAGAGCAATTGAAGCTACAGTAGGTTGCCAACACTAGACCTCCCTCATAAGAAATGTTGAAAGGAGTGATGATAATTAAATTTAAGAGAAGAAAATCTACAAAATTCTAAACAAGGAAATAGGTAGAACCAGAAAACTAAAGGTCAAATGACAGTGACATGTGCTTACAGAGCAAATACCTCAAAAATCACCTCAAGCACAAGCCTGCACTCATCAACCAAAAGGTACACAGCATCTGGTTAGATAAGAAAACAAAACCCACCTTTTTGCAATCTCCAGGAGCATAAGTGAGCTCCAAAGATAAGCATGTAGTTGGAAAACATCCTACAGGCAAGTGGGCCCTAGATAAAGGCAGTGCTAGCCATGCTTATATCTGATAAAATAGGCTTCAATCTAAAACAGATAATGAGAGACAGAGGTTGACATTGTATAATGAAGTGATCAATACATCAGGAAGACAAATCACTCATCAGTATATATGCACCAAATGAAGGTGCATCAAAATATATAAGACAACATTTACCAAATCTGAAAACAATCATTGGCAACCACAGGACAGTAGCGGGGACATCAACACCTCATTTTCATCAATGGACAGACAAACAGACAGAAAATGAGCTTGGAAACAATAGTCATAAATGAGGAATCAGAACACATAGGCTTAATAAGCAGTTACAGGGCACTATCCCCACAAAGCTTAGTACACATTTCTTTTTTTTTCTTTTATTCTTATATTCTCCATACTATTGCAGCCCCCTTATTTTGACCCCAAACCCTCCTTTCTCCACCCCCATCCATAGTGTGTCTCTGGTTCATAGTTGTTCTTTGATTTTGATTTTTTTCTTTTTTATAGTTATTCTTTTTCCTGGTCCCTTATTTAGGTTTTCTAAATCCCTGCTATGAGAGAGACCATCTGGGATTTTTGCTTATTTCTCTGAGCATGATCCCTTCCAGCTCCATCCATGTTGCTGCAAATTGAATGTGTTTATCTTTTTTTGATTGCTGAGTAATATTCCATTTTGTATATGTTAGTACACATTCTTGTTAGGGAACATGGAACATACTTCAGGACACACCACATGCTGGATCACAAAATGAATGTTAATTCATGAAGATTGCAATCATAACAATGTCTTCTCTGATCACTGCTGCAGACCAGCACAGCAGTAGACGATGAGGCCACCTCAGGGTTGAGAGAAGCGTGCAGGGTGGTCAGGGCGTCAGCGAAAGAAATGACAAACAGACACACTTCAAGAGTGAAAATCTGAGTACGTTTCTTTAAGTTTGTGACCAGTATATATATATATATATGTTTTCCAAAAGCACAGGAATGAATATCTAAGAAATTAGCTTGCTCATGGGCTCAGTCTATCACCATCAGGGAGGTGATCTACATAACAAGCAATGACCATTATAGAAGAAAGAAGGAAGTTTAGAAAGACAAATAAGGGATTAAAGTTTGTAGTTCTAGGAAGACTGGATAAGATTTTTAGCATTCTTGTAGTGGTTCTTGGTGGTCATTATCTTTTGATAAGCTTCTGCCTTTTCAGGGAACTTCTGCTGCACTTCCTCACTTCCTCTGCTTCAGGCTGTTCCCCCCCCCATGCTGGTTGCCCAGCAGGATCTAGGGACCATGGGGAAAGCCATTCCTAAAGATCACTGCGGGGGGAGGTGCAGCAGGTAGGGTTTTGCTGTTCTCCCCCTGGGCACTGGTTGCCCCGTGGACCTAGGGATGGTTAGCCCTAAAGGTCACTGCAGGGGGAGGTGCAGCAGATCACAATGGTATCAAATGAGAAATCAACCACAACAAAAATGGGAAAAAACACTAATAAATGGAGACCGAATAACCTACTATTGAATGTTTATTGGGTTAATGAGGAAATCAAAGAAGAACTTTACGAATACTTGAAGATAAATGAAAATGAACACATGAGTATAACAGAACATACAAATTACTAACAGTGAAGTACATAGCAATACAGGCCCACGAGAAATATTTAAAATATATAATCTCTAACCTTATAATTTAAGAAACTTGAACATGTAAAATCAAAACCCAGGAGAAAGAAGGAAACTATAAAAATTGGAGCAGAATAGACGAATAGAAATAAAAAAAAGGCAGTCCAAAATATCAGTGAAGCAAGAAGCAAGTTCTTCGAAGAACACACAAAATAGACAAACTTATAACTAGGTTCACAAAGCAAAAAAAGGAAGATTCTTAATAAATATAACCAAAACCAAAAGAGAAGTTGTAGTACATATCTCAGAAATACAGAAGATTGTGAGATCATATGAACATCTACATATGAGATCATATGAACATCTATATAACAAGAAATTGGGTAACACAGAAGAAATGAAAAAAAAAAGTTAGAAAAATACAGGCTTCCAAGACTGAATGAGGAAGAGATAGAAAACCTGAGCAAAGCAATTACAATGGAATCATTAAAAGTTTTTAAAGTTTTCCAATCACGGGCTTCCCTCGTGGTGCAGGCGGTTGAGTGCAGCGCTGTGAAGCTGTTCGCAGCCTCTGCAGTGCTGGTTCGATTCCCACCGGCCAATAAGCAACCCACATGGCATGGGAGACCTCTCCAGTCCTGCCTGCTGCTCCCCTCAGCAGTGTATTTCAGTCAGCCTGTTCTGTTCCCCACCCAGTCTCTGATGAATCCTCTCACCCTCCCCCACATCTGGCCTGTTCCCCTGTCTTGTATAAATAAATAAATCTTTAAAAAAATAAAATTAAATAAATAAATAAATAAATAAATAAATAAAAGTTTTCCAAACACCAAAAGCCCAGGACCAGATGGTTGCAAAAGTGACTTGTACCGAAATATCTAAGATGTCTACTACTTACCCTTCTCAAATGCTTCCTAAAGGTTGAGGAAGAGGGAATGCTTCTATGAGGCCAACATTACTCTGATACCAAAATCAGACCAAAACCTTCCAAAAAGAGAAAACGAAGTCCAACCTACCTGATGAACATAGATGCAGAATACCTCAAGCAAGTGTCTTGACTATTTGATAGTCTTTGCTCTTTTAAATAAAGGCAGCTCTTGCAGGTGCTCTATCATAAAGTTGGGTGTCATCTGCTATTCCTGCCTTTTTCTGTTGCACCTGAAAACTAACGTTTCAGTAAATCATCTAATGTCTAACAGCCAAACATATCCACAAACCGGTGACATTTTCCAAGCTGAATCCAGATCATCTTCTCTCTTGTGTAATATAAGAGACCATTAATATGTCCCTTATCGCCCTTCCTTTTCACTCAACACATCATTTTATTTTTTAAAATATATTGTTTGTTACAGTTTAAGTTATTTTTTTTAAGATTTATTTATTTATTTATACAAGCACTGGGTACAGTCAGAGGCGCGGGAGGGCGAGAAAATTCACCAGAGCCAGAGCTGGGAGCAGAACAGGCAGAAGGACCAAAGTACACTGCTGAGGGGAGCAGAGGGCACAGCAGGAGAGGTCTGCGTGCCATGTGGGACCCTCGCTGGAGGCCGGGGATCAAACCAGTGCTGCAGAGGCTTTGGGCAGCCTTGCAGCCCAGCGCTCAACCACTGCGCCACCAGGGGAGGCCCAAAACATCATTTTAATATCAGTGGGCCTAGTAAGGCATAAGTCAGATTATGTTGTTCCTCTCTTCTCAAAACACTCTAGTTGACTCCCAGCTCACTCAGAGTACATGCCAGCATTCTTCCAATCTCTATCTGGAACTAGCCACTGTTCATCTCAGATGAGTTTCTATACTTCCATTTGTGGTTTCTCTCTGTTTGTCTCTCTCTGTGTCACTTGTATTTCTATATCTTGTGCCTTCCATTCCTTTCCAGCCCCCTTGAACTTTGACTCTTCCTTCATCCTGGCATACCTCGGTACTTGCTGTTCATTCTAACTGGAGTGCTCTTTCTTCTGAAAAAGCATCTGCATATTGCAAAAAGCCAAAACATTTGGAAAAGGTGTATAATCCTCACGCCTGCTCCCTTCATTCCTACAGTTGGTTCCTCAAGAGCCATTTTCTCAGTTAGACCTGCCTTGGCCATTCTGAGTGATATTTTGACTGCCACACTCTTACA